GCTCGTCGTTGTCCAGCCGTTGCTGCCGCCGCCTCTCCGCCTCAAGCTTGAGCTTCTGCTGGATGCTGGGAACCGCCGTCTCGAACTTTTCCCTGAGTTCGGCGCTGCGTGCCTCCTGTCACGGCAATGTCGCGAAAATCTGGGCCTTGAGAGCCGGAGAGCATTGATATGCTTACACACACGCACACATTACGTTTTTCGGCTACAAGGTGCTGGGGACGGCCAACCCTAGTACACCTCAGCCCCGCCTTGTGTGCTCCTTATTTATAGCTGAGTAGAATTCGCGGGAGCGGGTAGGTTGCCAAAGTTGTGTTCGTTGTTGAAGAACGAAAAAATAACTCTACCTTCATGGCCCTCGCTCTATATATCTCGGTGACCCCATAGTTCTTGAAAGGAATGTTCGTTCCTTCGTCTGGCAACGTGGTATGTGTTTGTGGTATGTGTAGGCATTAACAGACCAACCCGTAAGGGCGGCGGCGATGGGTGTTCCCCCTTCTCCGTTGTGACCATTCAGGAGCGTCACAAAGTGCGCCATGGAATTCGCTTTAACGGGTTGGCGAAACGTGGAAGGGTTTCAAGCACGAGCGGTACGCACGCAGAGCGGATTTTCCTATTGTAGTATGATACACCAAAATGAAGGCAACGCTAACTAACGCACACGCGTGACGAGATACGAAACGTCACCGAGAAATTTGAAGAGTAGCCGAGAGGAGATAATTTCAAGAGGGGAACTAAAACTAGACTCACAACTCGACGTCCTCGACGCTATCAGCGGCTGATAAGCGGACTGAAAAGCATGGCTAAACCAGGCGACGAACGCAACAAACATCCGCAGGAGCGAGACTTTCGGCAACAACTGCGCTTGGATGGTGTTTCACCTCTCCCGCCTTTGCAGCCTTCGCATGCTCGACCGTGAGTTGGTTCAGCTGGGCTTGCTCGCGGCACTTGACCTCCATGCTAAGCTTTGTCGCCTGAACAGGCCGTAGCAGCAACAACGGCGGCCAAAACCAGGCGCGAAAGAAAAAAATGCACAATACGTTACTGTAGAGCTTGGTCCACGGGAAACAAAACATCTTGGTTACAAACGCTGTGAGTTAATCTCCATATCTCTTGGCAACATGAGACTTACTCCTCCGTCGTCTTTGTCGGTGTTTCGAATAAACCGTCCGCTCCGTTCAGGGCGTCCCCTAACCCTCCCTTCTCACGCCTCCATGCAAGACAGAAAAACGGCTTCGAGACACACACCCGCCTACGTCTTCACCAACACACGTACCGGTGGTTCGCGTTGACTGCTCGCGCCAAAAACAACGCACGCAGATCTACGCAGTTTATCTCCAACCCCACGCCATGCCCCGTTTTCCTTCCTAACCTTCGCTCGGCGAGCCGCGGCGCGCCTCGTCGCCAGCTCCGCCGCCCCGGCTTGGTTCTTCGCCGCCGCCTCGTTGCAGCAGTCCTCCATGCTGTCTCGTCTCCACCTGGCCTCCGCCGCTCTCTGCACCGCCGCGGCGAAGAGGGCTCGGACGGCGTCCACCGACACTTCGGAACCTTCCTCGGCGCAAAGGGACTGTTCAAGGGGTGTGTGTGTGCGTGTGCGTGTGTGTATGTGTGTGTGTGTGTGCATGAGTTGCATGCCTTGATGTTAGACCATTGACCACACAAAAGAAGGAGGGGGGGAGGGAGACGTGTTCACGCTTGGCATGCCTCTTAGTTGTCACACCATTGACCACACTTCCTCGATAGGACGGAGCATTGTTCCCACAGGACCGGTCACCATTAGCCAATCAATCCAGGGGGGGGGGGAGCGTACTCTTAAGTTTTGCATGCCTTAGCGGTTAGACCATTGACCACGCGTCCTCGAGAGGACGGAGCATTGTTCCCACAGGACCGATCACCGATGGTCAATCGTTCCTTTCTACTTTGCCAAAGGTGGCTCAAAAATGTCTTCCCTAGTCTGTCTATCCTAACGATATCTCTTCCCGCCTTTTCAACCCACCTCCTATGCCCCAGTACAGCTACCGTCCTTTCCTCTCTATTACATGCCTCAAACATCTCCCTGTACGTCCCATCTATTTTTCCCAGCTCAGTCACGTACACTTCCCTCTACTTCTTGTACAACGGACATTCCGCGACTACATGAACACGGTCTTCGCATTCGAAGCCGCAATCACATTTGAACTCGTCGTCTTCCTCGTCTACCGTCCTATGTCTTCGTCGACGTTCTCGAAGGCCTATGTCCCCGGTCCTGAATTTGACCTTAAGCTTTGTTCCTGCATCCATTGGTCCATGTAGGTAGTCCTTGAACCCTATTCCTTCCTTCAACATTCCGTACACTTCTAGACCCTCCTTATCCTTGGATTCTTTCCTCAGATTCTGCTCTTCTCTCTCGGCACAAGCAACAGATATCTTCTCCTTGAACCGCTGTAGACTCTCCGTATCCAGCGTTTCATCTTCGTCGATGTCGAGTTCCTTCCATACGTCCTCTACAACCTTGACCCATTCCGTGGGTTATCTACCC